CAGCTTTATCCAGGAAAGCTTGAGGAAAAAAAAAACCCAGCTAATTCCTCTCCTGTACTGCTTGTATAGCCGTCCCGTGCAGTGTGAGGGACCAGGACTGAGAGGGCCACTGTGGATCCCGACGCAGCCGTCCCCGGGCAGAAGCACTGGCAGGGCAGCAGGTCCACCCCAGCACTCTGCTTTCTCTTTTCTGGCAGGGAATCTGTGCCAGTTCCCCCAGTGCAGATCGGCATAAAGATTCCCCTTTGCTATTTTTGCTTCCCTGAGAAAAGGGTGTTAGAAATGTGCAGGCTTTATACGGAGTGCCTCATCGTGAGTAACTTGCCTGTCCTCTCAACCCCAGGCTTACCTGCAGCAAGCCCAAGACCTGGTCATTCTAGAGAGCATAATACTGCAGACCCTGGGTAAGTTTTTCAAAGCGGACGGGCTGCCACACGAATCCCAGACCCAGGAGTGTTCCGCAGGGTGGAGAGCCTAACCGCACAGTCTTCTCCACAGCTGGAGGGCAGACGCACAGCTGGCCAGTGGGACAACAAGAGCCCAGGCAACAAACTCTTATTTTCCCCACCTGCTCCTGTTTTCCTTCTAACGTCCGTTTTTTCAGGTGGAACTTGTGTCAGGTTCAATGCTCAGAGAAATGGAAGCGTGGAAGTGCAGCTCATCTCTTTTCTTTCCCCCCACGACAGGTTTTGTAGCGTTTGGGCACCGGTCGCTCTCCTCTGTTGTGCTGTTGAACTTGATAACGTTCTAGTTGTGTGGCCAGGAAGCAGGTTGCATTGGGAGATGTCTGACAGAACCTGGGTTGAAAGTTAAGATTTTGATCAGATAGCTGAACGTGGAAAAAAAAAAACAACAAACAAAAACCAGCAAGTTTTGGGGTTTTTTTTTTGGAAAGTAGAAGCGGGAGCCTACGTTTAGGGCTGTGGCTGTTGGATTCGGTATCCTGTTCCTTTCTAAAATATACTGTTAAAACTTATTTTTACTAACATCTGTTCCATTTCAGAGGGAGTTAGTAGATAGCCTTCCACTCCAAAGTACTCCGTAGGCCTCTGCTATTTCCGACTCGGTGCTCCCAGTCCCTCTCTCACGAGGGGACTGGAGGGGCAGGTGTGTCGGACGCGCTGGCTTGGCAAACCAGTGGCGAAACTGTGACCCCAGTTCTGCAACGACTCAGTTCTCCAGTTGCCTTTTTTTCACATCCCAGTTCTTCTAGAACGTTCTGCATGGGAAGAACCAAATCTGTTGCACACATGGAGCGATTTGATTTTTTTTTTTTCTTTAAAACATAATGCACAAACTGAATAGGAAACCGAAGCGAGGATTTAGTTCAGTTCTCTTCAGTGCTGTAGGCTCCTTCAAAGGGAAAACGTCTGTTTCCTCTTAGCTTTTTGGGTGAGAGAAATTCCTTTGAGCAGATGCCATTGTCTTCTCCTTCCTCCCAGCTGCTGTGAGAGGCTTTGTCCTGCTATTTTTGAAATCCTTAATAGTTGTTTTGTTTTCAGTGAGGTCTTTCGAGCACAGAAGTCATTTAGCTGCGTGGAGGTCTGGCAGCAGCAGTGACCTTCGGGTTTTGTGACTGGAGAACTGGAGTCTTCTGGATACAGGAAAACGATCTCCTCTATTCCTGCTTGCCTCCGAGCAGAGAGCAGGGGCTGTAGGAGGGAAGGGGAGAAGGCCTTGTCCCCCAGGAGCAGGAAACGTGAGGTTCGTAGATCTGTGGGGGTGTGCTGCTGCTTTCCTGATGGCCGTATATCTGTGTTCTTCCAGGTTTTGAGATCACCATTGACCACCCCCATACCCACGTGGTGAAGTGCACCCAGCTCGTGCGAGGTGAGCGATGGTGAGGCACTGGGACAGGTTGCCCGGAGAAGCTGTGGCTGCCCCATCCCTGGAAGTGTTCAAGGCCAGGTTGGATGGGGCTTGGAGCAACCTGGTGTAGTGGAAGGTGTCCCTGCCCATGGCAGGGGGGTTGGAACTAGGTGATCTTTGAGGTCCCTTCCAACCCAAACCATTCTGTGATGTCAGACGTAGGGTGCTCGCGGCTCCTCTGCCACGTAACCTCAGCTGGGCAGAGAACTGTAAAAATACGTTGTAGTGTTCATCTGAGAACTTGCCTAAAGCCAGTCTCCTCAATAACTATAAAGAGCATCAAAATAGAGGCAGCTGGAAACAACTGGCGCGATATTGTGGCTCTGCAGACTAACTCCTTGCTTTTTCCTTTTCCCTTCCAGCCAGCAAGGACTTGGCGCAGACTTCCTACTTCATGGCTACCAACAGGTTATTATTTTACGATTGATTCGTGTTTGACAGAGGGTCTTATCTGGAGGAGATGTGCTACTGGTGACCCCTGGGGCGTTGGTCAGCCTGTGAGCAACTGGGGATCGCTCGGTTTGGTTCAGAAAGAGCAGGAACTCTTGCTCCTGCTAGCTGCTGGTCAAAACCAGCTGCAAAATGGGGCGGATGGGATGCTCAGGAGCTTCACTGCTTTCGTTTATGGGGAGATAGACAGTTGTGAAAGTGAAAAAAAAACCCAAACAAAACAACAAACCCCAAAGCGAAACAAAAAGGTAGACTTGAAATGAATATATACGGTTTTACTCGGTTAGTACGTGGGTGTCAGAGTTTTCGCTGGACCAGGTGCTGTGAAAATTGTCAACAAATACAGTCTGTACCCCAGAGACAGCTGATCTAGAGTATAAAGGGAAAAAAAGGGTAGCTGGATGCAGGCATGAGGCATTTCAAGGGAAAACTATAGTCTTGTCTGGCCTGCGTGACGAGAGTCCTGGAAATCAAGCTCCCAGGTTTTTTTTCATCTTGAGAGGTCTGGGTAGTTTTGTTGCTCAATTTTTTTCCCTACGAGGCTGATACCAGCTCTTGTGTTGGGACTTCAGACGTGTTTTTTTTTTTTTTTAATTGAGTTTCCTGGATTACCAGCTTCAGACAAATCACAGGTGGAACGGACTGAGTCCCGTGGAAAAACCTTTGTGTTTTTGAGAAGGAGCTCGCAGAAGTGAAAGGATGGGAGAAAAAGATGGTTTAGGTGTTGGCACAGGTGAGGTTGCAGAGCGAGGAGAGGCTGAGCCATGGAAGTTTGTGGCCTTGGGCGAGTCATTTGTCTCCTCTCTGCCCGGGAGAGGTGTTGCCAGCTCACCTCCGCGGCGTGCTGGGAGAATTGTTTGCTGAAGGTGCTCTCTAGCTCCAAAGGGCACTGTGTGGGTTTCCTGCAAAAATGAGTGTAAAGGGAAGGTGGTGTTAGGAACGTGTGGGTAAATACATCCTTGAAACGTGTTTTATCCCTGCAGCAATAATTGCAAAACCAAAGAATTACGAGTTAAGGTTATAATGGAAGGAAATCCAGGCAGAAAGTAGGAAATGCAGCCAGGCAATTTTGCCTTGAAGTGACGACATGAAACGCCTGATGCAGGTGCTTCGGTGGTGAACCAGGTGTAGCTACAGATGTTCAACTTTTATTTCCTTCTGGCATCATTACGGGGCAGAGTTAATTCTCTTTGTGCACCTTAACTTCACTTCTCACCTTGGCAGACCGGATAAAGGCTCTGAATTCCCTGGGTTTGACTTCTTGATGTATGGATAAACGTGGTATCCGTGAAACGGCCTCAGACTTTTTGGCTGTAGATGGATATCTCTGTGTCTCTGCATTGCATTGATGGAAAAGCATTTAATAACCCGAGCACGGCGAAGAAACGCGGATAATGCCGCCCGGCGGCTGCGTGTCGGTGCTCGGTGGCACCGTTTCCATCGGACGCTCTTGGAAAGGGCCAATGGACGGGTGTGACAGCGGGTTCCATGGTTTCTAGGGCTTGGTGGACCTGGTGTTCCTGCAGGTAGAGTAGGATGCTTTCCTAGTCCATCGTTTCTCCTGTTCCCAGTGCTACCTAGACCTCCCAGCCCTGATGGCCGAGCTGTCACACGGCACATTAATTTACTAATTAAAGTGCTTGACGAGGCGGCCAGGCTTCCTTTTAGGCGCTCCTGAGTCACTCCGGCATATGGTGCTATTCACAGCCGAAGCTGCAGTGTTTTTCCTAAAAATCATTTGAGCCAGAGTTGCCTGGACCCAAATTACCCACGGCAGAACGGGGAAGGAACAAGCAAATCGGTGGAGCGGGATAGAGACGCCCGTAACAGTAGGGTTGTACTGGGGGAGGAATGGCAGGAGCTTTCCCCCCGTGTCCCCCTCTC